AGGTGGGCGTCCACGTGATCTTTTGATGTCCCGTGGAATCCAATCAGTAATGGCTCTAGTCCAGCGGTTGTCTGTAAACCTCATTACGTGTCCAGCCCATCTGGTTTTTGATGTCTTGGCAAATGAGACAGCGTCCCTGATTCTTGAGCGTTGACGAAGATCAGAACTCCAGATTCTATCTCTCATTTGAGTGAATCGTGATATTCCAAGCATAGCTCTTTCGATTCCTCTTTGAGAGACCCGAATAGCGTTCTCATCCTGTTTTCGTAGGGTCCAGGTCTCTGAGGCATATGTTAATGCAGGAAGAACTAAAATATCAGCAATCCAAATTTGCGTGGCTGCTATTGTGGCCACACGAGATCATAATCAGCAATAAAAAACAAATTATCTAATGATGTCTTTGTGGCAGGTCTGAATGTTGGGGAAAATTCCAAATAACAATGTTGGGTCTTTTGTCGTAATATTGGATGTGATCAACATAGAGAGAGAGTAAAGTGAAAATCTGCCACACAGGCAGGGGGTGGCCTGGAGGGGGGTATACTGGGGTTCTTGGTGGTGGAAAATGTGCACTGGTGAAGGGACGGTGTTTGATCATTGTATGACCAACCGAGACTTGAACTGAAAGGCTTTGTGACTGTTCTCATGGTGATTCAATAAATAAATTTAAAAAAAATTTTTTTAAAAAAGAGTTTGTTACCGACATTGATGTCACAGTACCCTGTCTTGTCCCTTACTCTTTACATTTTCTATGAAGGGAAAACAGATCTTTCGTTCCCCACCCCCAACCCCTGTCTCTCTTGACACCCGTTCCAAGTCTTCAAAGATGGGATGGGAGAAATAGGACAGAGGTGAAGGGGTTTGTCTCACATGGGGCTGACTCAGGTTGTAACCCCCAGCACTGCATGGTCCCTGAACACCACTGGGAATGTTCCCAGTGAGCACTGTCACTTGTGCCCTCCCCCCCAAAAAAATGACAACTCAGGTGTATGAAGACAGATCTGATCATCATCACAAACAGAAGTTTCTTCTGGTTAGAAGGTGGACTTCCACTTCCTCTTGAGGGTTTCGGGTCTTGAAAACAGTCGTTCAATAAATGAATCAGCACTCAGCACATGGGATGAGATAAACACTTTTTGAGGCAAGAGAACTGACTTGTCCAAAGAGAAAAATAGGGACCCACCATGTATTACCCAGCAACTGGATTCTCACAGAACTGCCCGCCTCTGGGGAGCCCTTCCAACCACTAAGAACCAGCTGTGTGTCCTGGCCCCTCTCATCACTATGGGTCCCAGGAGCGAAACATTACACAGGGCCTTTGCCATCATGGCCTGAGACCCGCTGTTAGGCACCAACCTATGCTGCCTACATGGACCAGGGCTGGTGGCCAGGAAAGATACTCGCATCCTTCTAATCTCCCCAAAGCAACTTAGGGGCTGCTCCCCTTCTCTCTCCCACCTGCACTGGGTCGCTGGGGTGGGAGGGAAGGATCCCTCTGTCAACTGCCACTTTCTCTCCTCTCTGAGAACCCGAAGGAGGAAAAGGAGGTTTCCAGAGGAGAAAGGAGGGATATCTTGAAAGATCTTACTAAGAACCATGCGGTTTGACGTGGGGGTGCAGACACTAAAGAGGGAAAAGTGGGAGGCAGAGAGAGCACAGCCTTGCACAGGATGACCTGGGTTCCATCCTAGATATCCCAGAGGTGCCCCGAGCACTGATTTTCAGGAGTGATCCCTGAACTCAGAGCCAGGAGTAACCCCCGTGCCTTACCACAAGAAAAAACAAACAAAAAAGCAAAGAAGGGAAAGTAAGGGTGTTTATGTTCTATCAGCAGTACATCACCAGTGATTTCTTCATCTGCCCATTTCTTTTTTTTTCTTTTCTTTTTTTGGCTGGGGTGGGGGAAGGGGTTTCAGGGGGAGTTTATTCTTACGTGGCGGTGCTCAGGGCTTACTCCTGGCTCTGTGCTCAGGGAGCATTACTGGCAGTCCTTGGGAGACCCAACGCAGTGCCAGGGATCAAACCGGGGTCTACCGAGTGCAAGGCATGTGCCTTAACTGCAGTCTCTCTCTCCAGCCCTTTTGCCTTTTATCAGACGGATGGCAGACAGGTTGAGAGGAAATGCTGGGCTCTTATCACTCCCACCCATGGCTGCTGTTTATCTGACAAAGGCCAACAGAAGCGGGGACTGTGCATGAGGCATTTCCTGACTTGGACCAGCCTCCTGAATCTGTTGTTTCCAGCGGCTTCTAGGTGGTGGGGTGGAGTATCAGGGAGCAGTGGGGGTGAGGGGAGGCACCCAGAGAAAGGGGAGTAGGAAGAACCGGCACCCCCTTGAAGTTGATTCAAACCATTATAATGTTCCTTTCCCCCCTCCCGCCCTTGACATCAGGAAAGACTTCAGCAGAACGAATACACTTGGACTAAGAAACCTTGACACAGAGACCAAGGTCTTTCCAGAGACCAAGGTCTCAGGAAAATTCAGGCGGAAAAATGTTGGTCTCTCTGCTTCAGGCACAAGGACTTGCACATTGAAATCACATGCTGCAGAGTCAGGCAACTTCTGATTTCAAATGAGCATGACTTCTTCCAAGACCACAGATGTGAAGTAAGAAGAGCACAGGAGAAGTTTTAGGAAAGCATCCTCTGGCTTGCCCTGGTTCTGGGATGGCTCCTTCCCTAGTGGAGACTTCCCAACGCCCAGGAACTAAGGGGGAAGGCAGGAATTGAAACAGGAACAAGGTAAACCCCATTCTTTCATTCCAGTAGAGAAGGACGGGTGCTTGGTTGTTGCGTAATTCTGGGTAGAATGCTCCTAAGTGTGATTTAGCAGCCTCTGTGCTTTCTTTGCCCCCCACCTGAGAAATTAACAACCCCCCAAGTGAGCAGGGCAGATTGGGAGCCGGAGTCCAGTTCTTTACAGCCTTGGAGCAAGTCCTGTCTGAGTGTGCTGCATGGCAAGTATTTAACCATTCTGCTTCCTGAGACAGCTGGACAACCGCACTCTGGCATCTTGCTACAATGTACATAAACTTCACCCACAGAAATTTTGTTTAGACATAGTAACCATAACCACCGAGCTGAACATTAATAGTCCAGACTCCCATCCAAGTGGATGGGCTCTGACAGTTCCAGAACTCTCTAGTAGGAGCTCCTCTTCACCACCCCCACTTCCCTCTCTCTCGTACCATCTTCTATAATGATATAGTACTGGTTTCAAACCAGAACGTCAATACTGGCACAATAGTCATTCACTAGGAACTGTTAGCCAGATGCAGGCCATTACTTGGATTAGATTCTCCAAACAATCTGGACACAGGAAGTTGGGTCCAGTTCCCTGGAATTTATACTTGGAGGGAAGCTGGGAGAGAGAATCTTGAGTTCTTGTTCTCTCTTCAGATCTGAGGATCGTGGACAGACAATGTATTCTCACTGAGCCTATTATATTTTCTCAACAAAACTGGCTTCATTTTCTCGATAAAACTGGACCCTCCCAGTCCAGGGAGAGCAGTTTACATTAAATGAAGTTTCCTGAATTATTTTCCTTCATTCCTTCCACTCCCAGGATTTTGCAGGAACACCAAGCCACCTCCCAAGGATGACCCGGGTCTTGACTATTGCCATTACTTTGGCTGCCTCTGTCTGTAAACCCCCTGACAGCAGCACCTCCTTGTCAGGTGGAATGAGACGTGTCAGAAGGGGCTGCACACCCCCAACTCTTGGGAGGTGATGTGAGTACATTGGAACCTCTCATGAGCCGTTCTGGATGAGGAGAACCTGCTGGTTCCCTTGAAACTATCCCTGGGGGTATGCATCACCCTTGCTTCTCTGCAGACCTTATTGCTGACTGAACAGTATTACAGAAAGTGCCCTCCCCGCTCTGCAGACGGCGGTCCTGCCCGATTTTCTCAGAACTTGGGTCTAAATTTGGGGCCGCAAAGGTGCAGGTGGGAGGCCCGGGCGCCTAGAAGCTGGGAGGGATGAGGGTTTCGTGGGGTGAAGCGTGTGGCTGGCCTGGGTGTGGCCTGCGTGTACCCCGCTTGGGGGAAGCCTGAAGGCCGTTGTGGGTTTGTTTTTTCCTTTTTGCATTTTGGATCACAGTAACGCTCTGGGTTCTGATCACTCCCTGGCGATGCTCGGGGCTCTTCTAGGGTGGCGGGGCTGATCCTCGGTCCGCTGGATGCAAGACCAGCGCCCTAACCCCTGTAAGGCTCCTTGGGCCAGCTGATTCCAAGCCCCTAACCCAAGTGAGCCCCTATTTCCTCATCTGCAAGGGGGGGGGGGGATAACTGGGTAACAAAACCTCCCCGGGGGGTTGGGGGGTGGGGGAGGCGCGAGGTAGGGGTGGAGTCAGCCTGCCAAGAAAACGTCCCTGGAAGGGTGTGTGTGCGTGTTTATAAATTCCCGGACTTCCCCAGGACCCTGCCAGAACCTTCCAGACACCATCCGCTCCCCCTGGAGACCTCCAGGACCGCACACAAAGCCCCCCACGCCACTACGGGCTCGGCTGGTCTGTGGCCTGGACGTGGAAGGCGCGTGTCGCCGCCACCGAGGGAGGAGGGCCGGAGTCCTGAAACGCCGCAGGAAGGCGTGTCCCCGCCGCGGGCGCGCCCGCCAGACCCTCCCCGCGTGCCAGGTGCGGGGGGCCGGGGGCGGGCCGGGCAGGTGCGTCCATCGTCCCCACTGCGGGCTGGCGGGGCTCGGGACGCGCGCGCGCGCGCGCGGGGGGGGAGAGGGACGGCGGGGGCGCGCGGGCGGCGGGGGGCGCGCGGGATTGGGGCGGCGGGGGCGCGCAGCAGCCTGAGGCGCGCGCGGCAGGCGGCGGGGGGCGCGCGCGGGGCGGCGGGGGCGCGCGGAGGCGGAGGCGGGGGCGCGCGGCGCGGCCGCCCGGGGTGCGTGTGCGTGTGCGTGTGCGTGTGGCGGCGGCCGGCAGGGGGCGCGCGGGGCGCGGGGCGCGGCGGGGGCCCGGCGCGGCGGCCGCGGCTCTCGGGGCGGCTTCGGGGCGCGGCGGGCGGGCGCGTGGAGCGGGGCGCGGCGTGGGGCCGGCCGTGACGCGCCGCTGGCCCGCGAGCCCGGGCGCGGGGGAGCCCCCGCGGCGCGGAGATGCGCGGGGCGGCCGCGCTGCTGCTGTGCCTGCTGGGCTGCCACGTCGGGACGGCGCGGAGCAGGACGCCGCGAGCCCCAGGTGCGTGTGCGGGCGGCCGGGCGGGCGCCCCGCGGGCTTTTGTGTGGGCCGCGTTGCGGGGCGGTGGCGCCCCGAGCCCGCCCGGTCCCGAGGGGGCGGCGCCGCTCCGGGCCGCGCGCGACGGCGGGGCCGGGCCGGGGGGGCGCGGGCGGGGGGCGCGCGGGCCCGTCCTCGCTCCCCGCAGGGCCGCGGCCTCGGAGCCGGCCCGGGGGTCGCCGCCGCCCGCCGTCCCCCGGCGCCGGGGTCCCGCGGCCCTTTCGTGGTGGCGGCCGAGGGGGGCCGCCGCGACCCCGGGTGTGGGGGTGGGGATGCCCCCCGGGTGGGCGCCCCGGGCCCCTCGAGCAGCCGGCCTGCCGCAGTTCGGGAAAGTTTCGGGGTCTCCTTCCTCCTCCACCCCCCACCGCCCCTCCCCAGGCGACGTCTGTTCCCAGGCCCGCAGGGGGGCTGCCCCCGGCCCCGGGGTCACCCCCGCCGAGGGGGCAGCCGCTGGCCCCGGGAGCCCCCCGCGATCACTTAGAGAGAGAAAAATCCATCCTGGCCAGGTCTGGGTGTCGCCGGCTCGGCCTTTTGTCTCCTCGTTGGCCTCTGCAAATGCGCCTCGCAGCCCCGGGCCGCGAAGGACGGCGGGGGCGGGGGTGGGCCCGCGGGGCTGGCTTTTGTGTTTAGAAGAAGCGTTCCTGCGGGATGCCCCCCGAAGCCGTTTGGGGCACGCGTGTGCGGGGTGGAAATCGGGGGGCGCCTTGGCTGCCTCCTGGCGTGAGCTGGGCCGCGGCGGGCACCCAGGCGGAGCCTCCTTCTGGGCGGTTTCCCAGCAGATAACCCCAGATTTTATGCCTCTGTCCTTTCCTTTCCGGAAAGGGGGTGCCCTGTGGAGCGCCCATGCGGATAAAATGAGGTGGGGGCTCCGGGAGTCAGCTTCCTTTAGCTTGCACCCTGCCTTGCCTCCCTTGCTCAGGTCCATCCCCCTTTCACCTTTCAGCAGATGTTCAGAGCCGGGGTGTATGAGCAGGAACCCCTTGGATGGACCCCCCCCCTCATGCCCCATAGTGAGACCTCGTGGAAAGAGAGGGTCCCAGTGTCATCAGGGGTCCGTTTATTTCCTACACGTTGAACTGAACGTTTTCCTCTCCACAGCCCTGCCCCGCAGTACCATTTGCTAGAATCTTGCAAGCTGGCCGTTTCTGCAGCCAGAGTATAATATGACCCTTATGGATTTCGTATCAATTTAGTCCTGTTTATGGTAGAGGGGGTGACATTGACGAGGTTCCCAAAAAGATGGCATTTCTCTAAGGCTGGGAAAGGAGTGTTTGGGAGGTTAGGTCACTGGCGTTGAATCCGAGCCTCATTCATTAATACTGGAGTGCTCTTTGAGTCAGCTGTTTCAATGAATGTGATATTTGTGCCTCAGCCAGGCGCTTAGTCCCGGAGAACCGGGTTGCAGTTTGGTTTTGCACTTGAAATGGGCCAGAGGAGAGAAACATTTGAGCTCAGGCATGCTTAGGAGAGGAAGGCTGGCCTTGTATTGGGGGAGGGGGAAATGGCCATGAAAAGACCGAATCAGTGTAGGGTGAAGGCCACAGTTCTTGCTGTTAAAATCTCAGATTAGGTCACAGAACTGGAACATTCAGTGGAGTGGGTGGATACTGGCCCCCTCCAGAAAGATGTTCATGCCAGGGATTGGCGGATCATGGGTAGGCAGCGTGCTGGAATAGAAGCCTCCTGGGAATATTCCCCACCCTGGCGTGGTGCCCTTCCTTGGGTGGGAATGGTGGTTTAGGGTCACCGCGAGGAGCTCCGGCAGCAGGCAGGGAGGGTATCATATCCCGACTTCTTGCTTCTCAGCACCATGGCAAGGGAATGGACCTGGTTGGTTGCTGTTTTGTTTTGTTTTCCTTTGACTGCACAAGGTCACTCCCCCTCATCCTTCAAACCATCTCGACTAGTTTCTTGGAGCAGAATGTTAAAGGCTTGTCTTTTCTGTTCTCCTGGGTTACATGCAGGTGTGGAGACACGGCAGGCTGTTTTCTGCCTAGTACTGGGCGGGTGGAGAGAAGGTGCCAGTGGGTGCCCGTGCCTGCTAGTGCAATGCTGTGTCCTGGGGGCTTAGCCTGAATCCTGAGAACTCCATACCCTGCTTCAGGCAGAGTGACCCAATTGCTGAGAGTGTTGCTCTTACTGTAGGAAATGTCACTAGAAAGCAGGGGGAGGGGAAGGGTGTTTGCCGCCTTTTAGAAATGCTTTAAGAACTGCTCAAGAGCCTGGGACAGAGCAAAGCCACACACTGTTCCGGTGAGATAACCGGGTCCAAATCCTTTCCTTATTAAATGGCTCTTTAATAACACAGAGCCAACTAACAGCTGCAAAGTGTAAGGTTTGGCATGGGGAGGGGATTTCAAACACGGTGCTCGTTGTCAGTGGGAGGCTTTGCCAGGATCCACATGAATCTGAACCAGCCCTGGAAGACGAAAGTGTTTTCCTCTATAAATGTCCTCAGCAACATAGGAAGTGTTTATAACGTCTGCTTTTCCCCTCCCTGGAATTGTGTGGAAACGCAGTGGACTTATTTTTTTTTTCCCCCACTTTTTTTCCACCTCTTATAAGGCAGTGTGTGGAGGCCCGCTGGAGAGAGGAGAGGGGCCTTCCTGGCAGGGGACCAGCCACACAGATGTGCTCTGCGGAGCGGGAGCTGGGCCGTGCAGGCCGGCCTGTGTGCCAGAGGGAAGGTCAGGGCCAGGTCGGGCACAGCAGGCTGACTGCAGAGCTTAGGATCTTTATCTTGCTGTGTCTTATCCAAGGGCGAGGCGGTTTGCAAGGCTGTTCCGGCTTTTTTGCCCACCTCCGAAAGCAACATACAATCTGTCCTACATTTGAGGTGCATGTTGGCTGACTCTTGCCTCTCAAGAGCCCTGTTCTTTGCCAGTTAGGACACAGTGCTCTGAGCGAAGTCTATGCAGGATGTGAAGTCTCTGGAGGGGCGAAGGGAGTGCACAGGGAGTAGGACGCATGCTGACTTCATTCTCAGGTCACAGTGCCCCAGTGATGGAAACCAAGCTCAGGTCTCATCCCCTGGGAACCCACAGAGGGACATTCCTGGAAGTCTGGTGTGAGAACAGCTCAGAGGAAGCCACTGAACCTTCTAGGGAATTTCAGGCCCTATCTTGGAAATGATTGCAGTAAATGTTTTTTTTTTGTTTTGTTTTGTTTTGTTTTTTAATGTCCTATTTGTATCTATCCTACCAGGACTTGGTTTTGGTTTGGAGCTCAGAGCTCACTCCTGGCCAGCTCAGGGATCACCCCTGGCTCCAGACTCAGGGATTGCTTCTGGCTGGCTCTTCCGGTTTCTTTCGGAGCCAAGTCTGACCCCAACTTACAAAGAGCAAGTTGTCCTATCCTCTGTATTATGGCTCTGGCGCAGGCCCTAAGGTACTTTGTAAAGCTTACCGTATGTTAGCTTCAAAATCCCCACCCAACGGAAGAAAGCATCACGGGATCTTTAGACCGATAGCTTACAGATGAAAGGACTTTCTAGGGTTTAATAAACTCTTCATTTTTAACAAGTGACTCTTATCTCTGTCAGCCTTAACCATGCATTCATTTTATTATTGTGGATATAAACCTAGTGGCCTTGGTAACTGTCTCTTCCTGAAAGACACTACGTGGAAATCAGGTAGACGAGCATAGTTGGAGGGGAGGTATAGGAGTGGGTTAGAGAGCGAGAAGAATTTGTCCTGCGATAGCCACTTGCTCTGGTGCCCTGGGTACAGCATGTTTGCAGGAAATTTACTTGCTAATGTGACTTGAGTCTCATTTGTGGAAAAACAAGTCAGTTTTGCTTGATTTCACCAAATATGTCTTCTGGACTTTCGAAGACCACACACGGTTTGTGCCCCATCCGCCACTTTCCAGCAAGCGTGGCCCTAGATGAATTTATCGAATGACGCCTCGGCACTCTGAATAGATGGATTTATTTTGTAAAATAACAGTCCTTTAAAAGAAATTCTAAAGTCGCGCCCAATCACGTGCCCTACCTTAAGCAAAGCATCGCTTGGGAAATTGAACCAGCGCGTCTGCAAAATGTGAGGCAATTAGCCACTTTAAGAAGGTTTTTCACGGTGGGTTTCCTGGGGTGAGCGGCTGAGTCAGCACCCAGCCAGTGCTCCTGTCAATGACGGGCTCCAGAGAAACAGGGGACTAAGGCTCTCAAATCATCTGACCGGGATGAGAAGATGCTGAAGGAAACGGTGTTTTTAGCAGGTCCTTGACATGGAAGCTGTTCTCAGCTTGACCCTCAAGTGAAATGAACGGCCCCTTCCGGTTTCTCTCAGAGCCAAGTTTGACCCCAAACGTTGGTTCTTTCTCGCTTTCATGTGCCCTTCCAGGATGCCTTCATCTGTGTGATTCCAGCTGGTGATCCCACTGAGGGAGCTGACTCCAGCTTGCCTTTCTCTGCCTCGGGCCTGGGCTTTAGTTCTGAGCATTTCCTGCGAGCTCATGGACATGCCAGCTCGGGGCAGTGCAGTCCCCACACACTCCCCTTCCAACCGCCTGCCCTCCTTAGTTCTCCAGTGACCAGTCTCAGACCCCCGCATCCCCTGAACTGCTGGCTCTGCTTTGTTTGTCACATGTCTGGTCAGCAGTGCAACAGAAGCATTTATGCAGGTGTCCTGAGATAGAGGCAAATTTTTTGGCTTTTGGGGCCACACCTGGAGATGTTCAGGGGTTACTGCTGGCTCCTTACTCAGGAATTACTCCTGGTGGTGCTTGGAGGACCATATGGGATGCAGAGTATCGAACCTGGGTTAGACTGCATGCAAGGCAAAGGTTCTAACCACTGTACTATCACTCCAGCCCCAAGATAGAGGCATTTCCCATGGTACCAGAAGGCACCGGGAGACCAAGTTCTCCTTGTTCAGGAGCAGAGAAAACCTAGACTGAGACAGGATAAGAGCTCAGGTTCTCTCTAGCCAGCCCAGGCAGGTGCAAGGACGTCCCCCAAGGAC